TCTTCACCCCTTGTCAGCAGGAAGCAGCTCCAGAAGAAGAGACCTTCGCCCAACTATCATAAAACAAAAGCCTGGAATGATAGGTCTCCCACCACCTCAGCAGCTATTATGTATAGTAGCTGCCTTCTTCCTATGGTGCCTTGCCCCCTCCCCTGTGTGACATCACGCTAAGATGGCTGCTCCCCCAAAGAATAAACCCTTCTTCCCAGCATGCCCCTGTTTCCCGCCTAGAAAGTAACCTAATACTCGCTCACCTCCTACCACCTAGTGACATCACCGGCTCCTCCATTCCCTAGTCACTGCCTCACTGAACCCCACCTCAGCCCCTACAAACCCCATCCCAGTCTCTATAAAAGACTCTCCCTGCACCAGCCATATTGCTTTTGTCTCTCTGTTCAGAGACAGCCTGGCAGATCTATTCCCCTAATAAAGGCTTGCTGTAGCCTGGTCTGGTCTTGGTCTTCGGCCCTTTTACCTGACACTATGCTTCTAGGATGGAGCGTGTAGTTTAAGCCAGAAGATAATTTGGGGCGTTTTCTTCTCCATTATCTTAAAAATTCAAATCCTACAGTTTTTTTTTGGGGGGGGGGACCAGGGATCGAACTCGGGACCTTGCACTTGTGAGGCAGGTGCCAGAACCACTGAGCTAAATCCTCAGCCCTATCCTACAGTTTTTACCTCTGGATAGTTACATGGTACAAGTCCTGAGTGATAATGAGCCAGCTTAGGTAGCCATACAAAAAAGAAAGAAAAAGCCCCAAGACTAGCTAAAATAATCCTATTTGCTTGTTGATGTACTCACTTTCTCCTCCTTCTATGGCAGAAGTGCAAGTCTTTGCATTGCTCTCTCTGCAGGGTCTAACATGGGCCTGACTTGTTCAATAGTTTCTCACTAAGCAGCAGTTAAGTAAATGAGTGAGATTTAACGGATCTCTTTCTGGAAGTAAGCAAGGCACATTCAGTGTTCTGAATAGGGCCAATTGGTTTGGCATCTCTGCATTTTGGGGAGGAGCAAGAAGGAAGAGGACAGAGACATGAGCAGATGGTGAACATTTTCCGTTCACTTTAGGCAAAGCAGTTAACAAGCAAGTGTTGAATTTCTGTGTGCAGCAAGAAGCACAGGTTCAGTGGAGTTAAGATGGATTAAATCAGTTACTGAGCTCTGAAAGCATATGTGGTGGGGTCAGGCAGGTAGGATATGATTTAACAAAAGGAAAATTATATAATGATCAATGTAATAGGAATGTAAAGCAGGGAATGACCCATATGGAATACAATAGCTGAGACAAGCTTTGTGGAAGAAGAAAGGTCATGTGTGACACATGGATCAGAGAATCTGAAAAGACAGAGGAGAAGGGCTTCTCAGGCAGAGGAAGAAAAAGAGGTGGGCATGAGTATTGGTTTGGGGCCAGATTTTGCCTTTAGGAAGCCAAGAAGAGACTGGATTAGATTCGCCCAAGTCTTCTCTATTTAGAACACTCAAATAGTCAAAAAAGCCTAAAAGAATTCAGAAAAGAGGGCCTACAGAAAAGGGGGATTCAATGTGATTTATGAAAGCAGCACTTCCCTCTCTAAAGATCAGGTGCTATTTTTCTTGCGAACTGAGTTTCTTTCATTAAACAAATATTTGTTCCTGTCTACTAAGGACCAGGCACTGTGCATACTGCTGGAGATCAACAGTAAGCAAGAGATCACCAACCCATCTCCAGGAGCTTGCAGTCTCTCCAAGGAGGTAAGTACATGACTAAATGCATAATCACGACTGAAGCTTAATTAATAAATTATATTCTTCAGGAAAATTCTTTCATACTAGTAATGAGACAAGAGATGGAGAAACAGGATGGTTTGGAGAGGTGAGGATGCTATTATTAGGTGATTTGCAAGGCTGTACCATAATGTGTTTGAAAGCACAGCAATTCAGCTGTCTCTGCAGCCTCTCTCAGCTGCAGCTGTGGAAGCACAGTTACAAAGGTCCAAGGTGAAACCCCTTCTCCCTTTCTGTCTTTCATTCCTTCCCTCTCACCTTCAAACATTGCTGTCAATGTAACTGTCACAATGGGAAAATATAACTATGAACATATGCCTATTGGCAATGCATGCTATTAGGGTGAAACTGGTAAAAAATGATCGTTAATATGTTACAGGGCACATACTAGAGGAGCTTTTTGTTTACAGCCCGAAGAGGTACAGAGTGATTATCCAATAACTTTTGTTGTTAGAATAATAGGGCCTTTTACACAGGAGCATCCACAGCTTACTCCAAGATGCTGCCAGTCACAGGCAATTACTAAATGATCAATGACCTGGTTTTGATAGAGATCTTAGAAAATTGTGAAATGCCATGATTTATATTTAGCTTTGTCTTTTGTATTTTGGAACTAAAAAGTGGCTACTTTTATGAATAGATAGAGAATCAAACATTCTTTAGTTTTATCCTGGGACATTACTATAAAATGTTCATGGTAGTACTTGAAGATCTATTTTCATAATATGTATGGTAAATTAAAATATAATTTATTATTTTTTTGTGCTGCTAAGGATTAAACCCAGGGCTTCACACATGCTAAGGCAACCACTCTACTACTGAGCTACATCCCTGCAATTTTTAAAAAACAATTAGAGACAGGGTCTTGCTAAGATATCCAGGGTGGCCTTGAACTTAGAATCCTCCTGCCTCAGCCGCCCAAGTGCCTGGGATTACAGGGGTGTGCTACCATGTCCAACGGAAACACAAACTTTTAAAAAATAGAATCTCACTATGTAGTCCCAGGCTGGCCTCAAATACTTGATCCTCCTCCTTCAGCTTACAGGCATTAGAGTTACAGGCATGTACCACTACCCTAAAATATAACTTCTTCTCTGACCCCATATTAAATGTAAAATCAACTCTAAACAAAGCCAAATACACTCAGGAATTATCAAGCAATTATCCATTATCAGATGTCTATCCCATAGTTGTATCCTTCCCCGTCTTGGCCTGCTTGGGTTGCCGTCAGAAAATATCAGACCAGGAAGCTTCAACACAGAAATTTCTTTCCTCACAGTTTTGGAGGCTGGAAGTCAAGGATGCAGTGACTTCTCCTGAGGCCTCTCCTCGGTGGCAGATGGCTGCCTTCTTGCTGGGTCCTCACAGGGTTTTTCTTCTGTGTGCAATCCTCGGTGTCTGTGTGTCCACATTCTCTTCTATTGGTCAGACGGAACAGGGGACTAATCTTGTCCCGACTTGGAGAGATAAGGATGGTCACTGCGAGAATCCATAGATGGACAATTACATGTATTTGGTGGATCACAAAATCTTGCATGAAGGGTAACATTCCTGCTGGGCCTTACAGGATGGGCTACCAGGTATATGTGTAGAAATAAGAGCATCAGAGGCAAGACAAAGGCATGGATGTGGGAGCAGCTGGCACATTTCAGGAGATTATTTCTGGTTAATCTATTGTACATGGGCATGTTATATAAATTCTCCCTTTGAGTTGCCCCAGAACCTCTGTGAGCCAAGCTAAACAGGAAGTTATACCCCTTCCACATTGAGGACACAAAAGCTCAGTTTGAGAAGCTCGTAAGTGACAGAAGTAGTATTATAGGCAGCTAAATAAGAAATTAATATGCAGTCAGAGAGGGAATAAGCCTTTAAGGAAGTCAGCACAAAAAATAAAGATGTCAGAATCGTGGCTGGAGGTGAATCTGAAAGGAGCTGGGCCTCAGGATGGAGAAGCAATAGCAAGGCCTTCACAGTTCTCTAGAGACGAAAAGCAGCTTGAGATTGTACTGTGATTAGCACCACCTGGTCCAGTGGGCCCAGATAGGCATGAGACACATAGGTGGGTGTCTAGAACATCTGGACCCATATTCCCTTCCCTTGCCCGGAATGCCTTTGATCTTTCCATATATCTTTGCTACATGACTCATTTCTCTATTGGATTAATATTAGCTAAGTGGGTATATTTGTAATCCTATAGACCAGTGGTGGCAAACCTATAGCACACATGCCGCAGGAGGCATGCAGAGCCCTCTGGGTCAGCACATTAGCCAAATCGCCTCAGCAGCTGAGCACTGCATATTCAGGTTTAATTGCAGTGTTGGTACTTCGTGATAAATAAGTGGATTTTAGGTTGCAGTTTGGGCACTCGTCTCTAAAAAGTTCGCCATCACTGCTGTAGACTATAGTATAGGTTGATTGTAGTGTGACACATGTGATCTTGCTGTACAAATTACCCCTGACAAAGGGCCTCGGTGGTCACCCATTTGGGACCCCTCCTATCTCTCAAGAGCTTTTTCTTAATGAACCCTTCCTACTCTTAACTTCCTTTGTCCCTTGGAATTCATTCTTTGATATTCAGGGGACACGAACTTGGCAATCTGACATCTAGTAGGTTGGGAGTTCTATTTTTTCTATATAGTAGGGTGGAACACACTGTCTGACCTTAGTGTCCTTCCTATCCATAGTCACTTGTGTTATTTTCTGTGACTGCCACTGACAGATGTCCGTAAACTTAGCATTTTAAAACAATACAAATTTATTAATCTTACAATTATTTAAGTTAGAATTCTGTGTGGGCTCAAGTGGTTTTTCTGCTCTGGGCCTCACAATGCTAAAATCAGCTAGACACCTGGACCCCTATCTGGAGGCTTTGTGAAAGAATATGCTTGCTGCTGATTTGAGTTATCGGTAGAATTCAGCTCTGTGCCTTTATATGGGTAAGGTCAGCTGAAGGTTATTTCTAGCTTCCAGCAGCTGCCTGTATCCTCTGGTTTGTGGTCACTATCATCTTCAAGGCCACCAATGGTAGGCTGAGTCATTCTCATACTTCATATGTCTCTCATCTCCCCTTCTGTCTCACATTTTCTGTTTTCAGTTGGAGAAATTCCTTTTCCTTTAAGGCACTAGTCATTTGCCTTTAAGGCATTGTCATTAGTTTGGATTCACCTATAATCCACAGTAATCTGCCTGTTAAGGTCCATACCTCAAATTACATCAGCCAAGTCCTTTTTGCCATGGAAAGTAGCATATTCCCAGGCTCAAGTATTAGGGAGTGGACATCTTTAGAGGCTGTTCTGGCTACCACAGCACTGGTGGAAAGGATAACTCCCTTAGGGGCTTGAACACCAGGCTGCAGGGTAGGTAGTATAGGCTTCCAGGAGGAATGAAATCCCATTAGTGCAGCTCAGCAGCTGGGTAGCCTACAAGCAAATGAAAGGGTGTTTTACTGAGAATACAGTAAGAGTTTCCACAAATTTTTACAGCCTCTTTATTTGTTTGTTTTTTTTAAAATGAATTTTATTGGTACATTTTAGGTATACAATATAATAACATACAT